TGAATGTGTCCCCAGAAACTGGGATAGCTCTGGTTTGTTGAGCCTAGGCCAAGCCCAGTTTGCAAAATTTAAATAATAGTGCCTTAAGAGACTGAAGTGTTGTGCTACCAAAGGGACTGCAGAACCAGAATTTGCAAATAAATTTGACCAACAGGGTAATACACATTTGGTTCCAACTGGCATCTTTATTGTCAATCATTAGGCAGAGACAGTCCCTGGCAAGTCTGTCTCAGGAGTATCATAGAATCTACTCAGCCTTTACAGTCTTCCAGGACTGGAGGGAAGAAATAAGCCCACCCAGGAGTCTCTCATCATTTGAGACTCAGTCCTCTAATGGACACAAAGCTGGCATCGGTAGCAAGAGAAATGCATCTCTTCTCTCTCTCTCCTCTCACCAAGCCTCCCAGATCCCTGCCTTCGGTCTCTGACTGGGTTTGAGATTGTGCTTCCCACCCCAGAATGGAGAGCAGGCTTGATTCACACCCCCTGAGTCAGCTGTAACAAGTCACTTCGACCCATCTGGGACACCTCTCCCAAGGTGAGGATGCTGCACAAGCCCAGATGATGAAGCCATATTATAATCCAAAGCAACCCCAGCAAAGTCAGCATCCCCTCCAATTTGGGGAGATTCCTGCCTCAAAGGAAGTAGAACTAGCAGTGAGAGGTGGGTTATGGGAGTCACGTTTTCAGAGACAGCAGATATACCCAGCTCAGAAAAAAACTCAGTGAGTTCATTAAGAGTCCCCGGCCATCTGGCTCAGGGAAGTACAAGAAGGAAGACGACTCCGGGTCAGGGCTGAGCCAGGCTCTGAGGATACGGTGGGAACCAAAGAGGATACAAGCCCTGCTCCTGAAGCTTACAGTCCAAAAGAGAAGGGAGGTAGTAATGAGATAGTCATACCAAAGAATGCAACATTGCAAAATGAGCTGACTTCTATATGGAAGAAAGAGGTGGAAGAGGGGCCCTAACCCAGAGGACGGCCTAGACCAAGGGGCAGGGAAGGCTTCCCCGAGAAGTCCTGTTTGCATTGAGAGACTAAGGACAAGGTGTAGCCACTCCGTGGGGAAGGGAAGCCCTGTGGAAGTGAGGGGAGAATTAAGTGAGGGGTACAGGAGCTACGATGTACCAAGAGCCACCATCCATGGCCATTGGCTCCATGCCAGGAGCCAGGCTCAAGCTTTGCTTCCTCATCTCATTTCACCTTCGTGATAATCATGAGGTTGGTAATTTTGTTACTCCACATTACAGATGAGGAAACTGAGGCTCAGAGAGGATCAGTGACTTGCCAAGGGTCCCACAGTTACTAAGCTGCAGAGCCAGGATCCACACCCAGCCAGGCTCTAGGATCTGGTTGCTTATCTGGGGGCAAACAGGATGTGATCAATACAAGCTGCATTTTCTTATTACCTAGGCTAAGATTGGGAGGCAAGGCAGAGAAATGGAGAGAATGATTGTCGTGGGATGGAAACATTAGCAGTTTCTCTCTCGTTTTTACTTCAAAATTTTGTGTTGAAACAAGAATGTTCTGCTGCTAAATGGAATGAAATTGGGGTGGAAGGAAGATGACCCTATCTTTCCACCACCCCAATTCCATGCCCAGGTGTCACCTTAGGCCGTCTTCGGCCTGCTATCTTCTTGGGGGACAGCCGAGCTGAGGGAAGGACCCAGTGGGGTGCTGTAAATGAGGGAGACAGTAAACAGCGTCTCTCCTAAAAGCCCCAACTGACCTCCAGTCCGAGGGCTGAGGACACGATGATTAATGGGTAAAGACCGTTTGGTTTTTATTAGGAATTCTGAACAATCTGCTCCTGAGCCTGGACAACTTTTTCTTTTTGGTTAATCCTCACCCGAGGATATTTTTCCATTGATTTTTTTCTTTTTTTTGATAGAATGGAAGAAAGGGATGGAGGAAAAGAGAGAGAAACATCGATGTAAGAGAGACACATCAATTGTTTGCCTCCTGTTTGACCCCCACAGGGCACTAAACCTGCAACCCAGGTACCTGTCCTTGTCCAGGAATCAAACCCAAGACCCTTTGGTCCCTGGGCTGATGCTCTAACCACTTAGCCAAACCAGCCAGGGTGAACCCAGGCAACTTTTGATCAGCATGAGCACTACCTAGGGGCTGCCCTCCAGGACTGAGTAAGCTTTCTTCATACCTTCCAATCTGAGGCAGGTGGGCGAGAGGCCCTCTCCAGCCCTCTGGGAAGGTGGAAGGAGGATGGGCCTGTTCTCTTTCTGCAAAACACCAGCATCTCCTTTGGGAGGGCAAGAGCACTGGGAAGTCTCCAAGATTCAGCCCAAACATCCTTAATGGTAGCAGGCGTGGGCTAATCACCGTGCATACATCATAGGGCACAGTGCCCAGCACTAACACCTAATAAATATTTGCTGCTGTTGTTACTGCCATTATTGTTGTTGTCATTACTGTTATTATTACTGTTGGGATCCTTGCGCTACCACACAAGACTGTTAAAGAAATTAAATGAGATGATCAGTCTAAAGCAGTTAGCACATAGTAGAAACTCAATGTATGATATCTGTCTTTATGATTATAATTACTCCACTGAGATGTTAATGAAACAACCAACATTTTGGAAAACGTGTCCAAGGAACTAAAATACATATAAAAAGACACATTGCCAATGTTTTTGCAACTTAAAGGCAAAACTCAGAGTAGTAAAAAAAACAAAAATGTACATTGTGGATCTCTGCTAAGGAATCAACAACCTAGGTAACCAAACCAAAGATACCTGTGGTCAAGCCCCGGCCAGGTGGCTTAGTTGGTTGGAGAGTTGTCCGGTACACCAAAAGGTTGCGGTTTCAATTTCTGGTCAGTTCACATACCTAGGTTGCAGGTTTGATCCCCAGTCTGGTTGTGTACAAGAGGCAACCAATGTTTCTCTCTCATCTCTCTCTCTCTCCCTTCCTCTCTCTCTAAAATTAATAAATATATCCTTAGGTAAGGATAAACAGAGATACACACACACACACATATATGTATATATGTATATGTATGTATATATCTATATATGAAATAGATATATATATCTTCCATATATATATTCATCAAATTAATTCTAGGAACAACCATTCTCAGTAGGCAGTTGAATCCAACCACTCATCCATCCATTCATTCATTCAATAAAGAACCTTGATTTTGGCCTTGTGAGATGCTAAGCAAAAGACTCATTGAGCCACAACACACCTGGACGTCTGGCCTCCAGAACTGCCATGTAATTAATGGGTATTTTTTAAGCTGCTAAATTTGTTGTAATTTTTTACAGCAGCCACAGAGAGGAATGCACTCCCACTTGCTGTGAGAAGCTCAAGTCGTGGGGAGGGGTCCTGAAGGTTGAGACCCCTGGAGATGGAGGCCAGGAGCCCTGAGGAGCCGGTCGGGCCTTCGGATGACTCACGCCCGCTGCGCCTGGGCCACCACTGCAGGAGAGACCCCAGGCCAGAGCCGCCCCGCTGAGCCCAGCCAAGCCACAGAAGTGCGAGAGGTAATGATCGATTGACTTTTTAAGTCACTAAGTTTCCCAGGAACAGAAAACCAGAAGTCTGTTTTGAGTATAAATTAGAGATGACACCCTCACGCATTTGGAACAGTAAATACTCCATAACTGTCAGCAAATACAGATTTACTATGATCATATCCACCTGACAAATGCAGAAATGGGGACCTGGGGAGGTTAAGGGACAGGCCACTGCTGTGTTTGACTGTAGATCCTGCTCTTCCCACAGCACTGGGCCGGCTCCTGACCCTCGAGGCCCGCTCAAGATGAAGGCAGTTGTATTTCTTCCAGGGCAGGTAAAGGCCACGTCCTGATCTGGCACAGGCTTCTGCAGCCCGTGAACAGGCTGCGGGAGGTTCACGCCCCACCCCCCACCAAGACTCTGTCATCATTACATTCTCATTTCCTCTCCCAGGGGGCTGCAGGAGGGGTCAGCTGAGCATGAATGGTACAGCTACCGAGAATAGTGCCCACTGCTCAGCCCTGCCTCCCCTCCCCTTTATGATCCGAGAACCAAGCACAGGCGTCTGCTTCTGTTCCTGGGCCAACGCCATAGCCAGGGCTGCTGGGCTGCTCATGGTGTGGCTTGGATTCCGGTGGATTCATTTCCATGCGAGCCTGCAGCGTCCAGCTTCCTGAACAGAATAGCAATGACAGGGTTCCATCACCCGTGCTCCCTCCAGTGGAAGCTGAAAGACCACATGTGCAACTGACGAATAGTCCAGAGTGGAACAGGGGCAGCTGCCTCCTCCTCGGTAAGAAGCAGGGGAAGAACACAGCAAAAAAAGGAATGCTTTTTCTCTGTGTCCTCTCTTGCCCTCCTTCACCTTCCTCTCTCATTTTCTCCCCCTCATTTCTTCACTCCCATTCTCTTTGTTTTCTTTTTTTAAGTATTATTTTTCAATTACAGTTTACATTCAATATCACTCTGTATCAGTTTCAGGTGTACAACATAGTGGTTAGACAATCATGTACTTTACAGAGTGGTCCCCCTGATAATTCTAGTACCCACCTGGCACCACAATTATTATGATATTATCGACTATATTCCCTATGTTGTAATTTCTGTAACTACCAATTTGTACTTCTTTTTTTTTTTTTTAATTGTCACCCAAGGATACTTTTTCCATTTTTTTTTTTTGTTCAGATAGAGTGGGAGGGAGAGAGAGGAAGAGAGAGAGAGAAACATCGACATGAAAGGGACACATCGAGTGGCTGCCACCCGCACGACCAACCAGAGCCGGGGACAAACTGCAACTGAGGTATGTGCCCTTAGCGGGAACCAAACTCGGGTCTCTCTGGGCCGCAGGCCGACGCTCTAACCGCTGAGCCAAACTGGCCAGGGCAATTTGTACTTCTTAATCCATTCACTTTTTTCACCCAGCCCCCCAATCCCTGCCCTCTGTCAACCATCAGTCTGTTCTCTGTGTCTATGAGTCTGTTCTATTTTGTTTGCCTCTTTTGTTCTTTTTCTTTTTGTCCTGTGTCCCAGCACTTGAGTTCAGAACTGGCGGATTGGAAATCATAGGCACCAAAGACGTGACTCCTGGGGCCCGGAGCCCTCCCATTCTGCCTCTGCACATTACGGGGACCAGACCACACGCCCGACCCCACCAAGAAGAAGAGGGATGTGTATTTTGTTCTTAAGATTCCACATATAATTGAAATCATATGGTATTTGTCTTTCTCTGTCTGACTTATTTCACTCAGCATAATACCCTCCAGGTTCATTCACGCTATTGCAAAAGGTAAGATTTCTTTTTTTTTAATGACCAAGTAGTACTCTATTGTATATGTGTACCACAGTTTTTCTATCCACTTGTCTACTGATGGGCACTTGGGTTGCTTCCATTTCTTGGCCGTCGTAAATAATGCTGCAGTGAACATGGGGGTGTATTAGTATTTCCAATTAGTTTTGAATTAGTATTTCCAATTTCTTTGGATATATCACCAGAAATAGAATCGTTGGGTCATAGGCAGTTCCATTCTTAATTTTTTGAGGAACCTCCACACTGTTTTCCAGAGTGGTTACACCAGTCTGCATACCCACCAGCAGTGCACGAGGGTTCCCTTTTCTCCACATCCTCACCAGCACTTGTAGTTTGTTGATTGACTGATGATTATCATTCTGACAGGTGTGAGGTGGTATGTCCTTGTGGTTTTGGTTTGCATTTCTCTGATGATTAGTGACACACTCATCATCATCATCATCATCATCATCATCATCTTAGTAACCCAGGATAGAACTGAAGAGTGGAGACCTCAGCAGGCAGGCTCCTTAGAGTTGAGCTCAGAGCAGGCTGCCATGGGCCTCGGGTGGCATCAGCCTCCTCCATCCCTGAGGGCACCCCGTGAAGCACCAGAGGAAAGGCTTTGGAGGAATGGGTTTCCTCCTCCCCCAGTCCCCACTGCCCACTCCTGCCCACCTCTGCCCTCCCACTATGCTGGAGGCCTGGATGATAGGAAGGTCTTGCAGGCCACACTCAGAAGGCAGTGGCTGGGATCCTGCCACAGCCCATGTTCCCTCCGCAGAGATGTGGATGCGGCGTTGGAGGTGAGGGGCCGAAGAGCCAAGATCTCAAAACTCCTCTGGGCTCTGCCTGGTGACTGAGATCTCCTTCGTCCCCGTGCCTCTCTGGAGATGTGGAGATGTGGCCAGGACCCGACACAGAGGACTGCAGATGAAAAACTTACGTGTGGAGAAACTGAGCAGCATCCCTGTGGCCTTACAATTAACCTGTGGAAGGTGGGAATTATCAGACCACTCTCTTCCACCACACTGGCCACACCCACCACCCTCCCCCTCCTTCCACTCTGCTTCCGAATTGAGCCTTCTCTCCTTTCTGTATCTTGTTGGGAGCCCAAGGATGAGGAATGAGCTCTTGGTCCCATATAGTCATCTTTCATGTGTGTCTTTGAAGGGCTGGCTTCTCTTCTGGGACAATCACTATGGCATGTAATAAAGATGTCCTTGGAGAGATAGCTAGGGGAAGTGACAGAGAAAGCTTACAGATCTGAGTCAGTCCAGAAATCGCCACCCACATCTATCCATCCAAACACCTTGGGACAAAGGGATTCAGGAAAATAGTGGCATACAATTGTCTGTCTCCTTTTGGCAGCCCTAATAGCAGACTCCACGGGACACATCTGGACGTCCAGAAGGGCCACCTCTCCAGGTGTGTGGCATCACAGGAAGGCAGCCTGTGACAGGTAGGATAAGAAGGGAAGCAGCTGTCACATCAAGAGAATCCATCTCCACACCCCCTAATCTTAGGACAGTGTGAAACCACACACTAACATCACCTAGTAAGTATCACTAGGCCCATTTTACAGATGAAGACACTGACACCAGGAGGTGAGGTGGCTGCCCCAGGTCATACAGCTCATTACCGGCTTCAAAATCAGGTCTCCCCAGCTCCAAAATCACAGTACTGGCCTCCACACAGCTGAGGGCGGCCTTCCAACTTCCTTCCGAAGGTTGCATTCAGCCAAGTCGCTGGAGACCTAGAGATTTAGCCCAAAGCTATGAGATTTACGCAACTAATTTCCATTAGGACTAATGGAAGAAAGAAAGAGCCATTTTTCTTATAATTAGAAGAGCATTCAACCTTCGCAGCCAACGAAGTCTAATATCACAGCTCATGTAACCAAAGAGAGGGAAAAGCAAATGAATATAATTAGGAAAGAGAAAAACAATCTGGATTACCAGCCGCAGAAGAGAGGAGGCCCAGGTATAATACAATTCCAGATGGAAATAGTTCTCTGCCGCCAGGCAGGGCAGATTTCAAGTCCCCATCGCGTCAAAGCCCCTGCCTGTGGAGGGTCTACGGTGCGCCAGCTCCGCCCAGCTCCTGCAGCGTCCTCACGACCCATGGAAAGGGCTGGTAGTAGGCCCGTCTCAGTGATGAAGGGCTGAAGCTCAGAGAAACCTGTGCCTTGCCAATCACCGCAAAATGGATTCCGTCATTCAGCCCGTATTCTGCAGTCACCTACTCACTGCATGCTAGGCCCACACCAGACACACATGGGTACTCAGCAGAGCAGGGATGACCCAGGATCCAACTGTGCACCTGTCCCACCCTCAAGCCACTCCCCTCCGAGTAGGAACTCGATCGGTATTTGTGGAATGAATGAATTCCTTCGAAGCCTGCATCCCACGGCTCTTTCTTTGCTGTTGGCTGGAGTTCCTGGCTGAGGGGAGCAGAAGACACATCGTAAGCAGCTCCGTACTCAGCGCCCATCGGCTCTCAGGCCTCTGTGAGAGCCGGGCCTCCAGCCGCAGCCCCAGTGAGCATCCCCCGCAGGGCCCTGCATTGGATGGCCTACAGAAGGTGTTAGCTAATGGAGTATCAATTTTGTTTTTTTTAAGAAGCCCAAATTGCAGGTTTTGCAGCAATCAATAGCCATGGAGAGGGTGTAAAAGAGAGCATGGTGAACACTCAGCCCCTTGGGACCCTCAAGCACACCCCCCAGCCCTGCCAACCCCTGGTTTTCCCTTTGCAGCTGAGGTCCTAGGGACAGAAGATGGAGCGAGAAGCTAGAAGGGGCCTGGCCAGGTAGCTCAGTTGGTTAGAACAACAGCTAGATATGCCAAGGTTGCAGGGTCGATCCCTGGTCAGAGCATGTATAAGAACCAATGAATGCATAAATGAGTGGAACAACAAATTGATGTTTCTATCTATCTATCTATCTATCTATCTATCTATCTATCTATTTATCTTTCTTTCTTCTTTCTCTCTCTCTCTCTTTCAAACCAATAAATAAAAAAATGTTTTTGAAAAGAGTCTGGAGTCCAGCTGGTGTGGCTCAGTGGTTGAGCATGGACCCATGCACCAAGAGGTCGCCGGTTTGATTCCTGGTCAGGACACTTGCTTAGGTTGTGGACCTGGTGCTCAGTGGGGGGCATACAGGAGGCGGCCAATCGATGTTCTCTCTCATCAATGTTTCTAGCTCTCTCTCCCTCTCCTTTCCTCTCTCTCTAAAAATCAATAAAGGGAAAAAAAATTTTTTTTTTTTATCCTCACTCGAGGACATTTTTCCATTTTTTTGTTCAGATAGAGCGGGAGGAAGAGAGAGAGAGAGAAACATCGATGTGAAGGGACACATCGAGTGGCTGCCACCCGCACGACCAACCAGGGCTGGGGACAAACTGCAACCGAGGTACATGCCCTTAGCGGGAACCGAACCCGGGTCTCTCTATACTGCAGGCCGACGCTCCAACCACTGAGCCAAATCGGCCAGGGCGAAAAAAATTTTTTTTAAGAAAAGAAAAATGTGTGGAGGCCATGAGCCTCCTGCAGCAGATCTACCTCCACCTCAGAGATAAGGAAGCCACATGAGAAGGGGCAGGTCCCTGGCCCAATGTCACGCAACCACTGAAAGACAAAACTGGGACTTAAGTCTGTGTTGCACTTATAGCAAACTCCAGAGCTTAAGAAGCATGTCTTATCACTGAGCCTCGCTGAAGAAGGCCAGCAGCAAGGCCAAAGCTGAGTCCTGCAGGCAACTGGGGGATGCTGGAAGCCTGGAGGAGTCTGTAAGAAGGGCCTCACACCCTCATTCAACAAAGATTTGTTGACTGCCCATTATATGCCAGACACTGGTGTTGTTGGTGGAAATTAGGCTCTTCCATGGGACCCACACACATGAGATTGTGATGTGGTAAGGTGATTTATTGGTGATGCAAAATCAAAAGCTTACTCCTTTGGAGCCCATGTGGTCTGCCACGGCCTGGTAGCTTCTAGACCGTATGGTTGTGTGATCCCCAGCAGGCAAGAGAGAACCTGCAAATGCATGGGGAGAGTGTAGATCCGAGAGAGAGAGAGAGAGAGAGAGAGAGAGAGAGAGAGAGAGAGAGAGAGAGAGAGATGAATGGAGGAAGGGAGAGAGAGAGAGAGAGAGATTGAGAGATTCTTTGTTCACATGGGATTATAACCAGGAGTTTTTTCAACTTCCCAAGCTTTCGTTGGGGCTTCTGATGGGTCTATCTCCTGGCCATGATCCCTTTCTCAGGTTAGACTGCCAGGTCTCTGGGCTCAAGCACCTCCCCCTGTGCCCTTTTGATTTCTGCTGTGTTTACCTCCCCCTTTTCCCCACCAATAATCCTGAACAGAGGGCAGGCTGCTCCCTACACAGGGGAGGAGAGGGTTGTTAAGCTCTAGTTTCCTAGTGAAGCAAACAGACTCATGTTCTCCAGCTGACCATGCTCAACAATGCCCTCTTCCTGTTGATAACTAGCTAGCCACGGTAACACTGGGATTTGTAAGATTTGTACAAGAGAAATAGAAATAAGCAGAAATAGACACCGTCCCTACCTTCCTGGAGCTGATGGCACAGTGGGGTACACACGATAATCAAAGGATCTCATGTTAATCAAAGGATCCCATGTTAATCAAAGGATCTCACAGATGAATCTAAAATTGCAACCATGCAAGACTCTGAAAGAAAAGGTACAGGAACTGTGAGAACAGATAACAAGGGAAGCTGACCTTGTCAGGAAGGCTTCCTGGAGGAAGTGACACTTGATATGAGACCTCAGAGATGAGGAAGAGTTAACTGGGTCAAAGAGCATTTGGCACAAAGAGCAGAGCATGTGCAAAGGTCCTGAAACAGGACGGGCATATGGCA